AAATGAAATAAAATTTCACTATTATTAATATACATTACATATAATTATTAGTAACCTACCTCTTGAACAGCATTTAAAGGCAACAAAGGCCCGTTGTTGTCCCTTTCTTGCTCAAAGTAGTGCATTAACGAGGCCACGAGTTCCTTACAGCGACTATTTAACTGTTTGGGCATCTTTATATACCAAAATTGCCTTTATCTACTCGTAAAATGAATAATTTTGTTTTGAAACAAACAGTTGTTGATTTACAGTATGCGGGGCCAAAGGATTTATAAAGATTTGAAATGCCACAAATTGATTCAGTGTCAAAATTAATACAAATGTCAGTTCCCAGTTTAAATAAGTTTCAAGGTGACAATGTGTCAACGCTGCGAAATCGGTTTAGTGCGTTTACATGTCGATAAGTGATTGGAGCGTTTGCAAAACATTTTATTTCGCATAATGCGTCTAAATTTATCAGAAAGCAACTTATGTGATATTTTAATAACAATGTTTATATGACTATTAACCATAATAAGAGAGTAATGACCATTTTACAATTTATATATCACATTAATATGAAACTGCAATAGAGCAATTGTTTGTGATAGAAACCTAGGCATTAGGTCGGGGAATTTTTATCGTGATGCACGCCACTTTGTTTGGCGTTGACTATACTTACACTTGCTTGCTGTCCCAAAGAAAAGCCATCTTTATGTTATTTTCAGCTGTCCAGTTTTGACATCAATCTATTTGTATGTATATAGCACCCTTGAAGAAGTAAGTCTAAGGCCAGGCATACATATTTTTTATTTATAAGCCACCGTACAAGCCTTGAAGTCGTTCTTCCAAAAATACTTCCAATAATACACGTTTCAGCCAATTCTTGGACATGTATTTTACCAGAGGGGCAACAGTGGCAAATGTTTCCTACCGATAGAACTCATGCAGTGTGTAACGAGTTTATTAGAAAATTGCACAAGCTATGATTTTTTCTAGCTTGAGTCACTCACTGCCAAATTATTAAAAACGTTACACTTTAGAGAAGCGGCAATTGATAGTTATACGGGTTAAATAGCGTTCGGTAGCATCAATGATTCACTGACCTCTCAGGAGCGAGTACATCTCTCCTGAGCCTTTAAGCAGAGCCTTTGCGAAACCTCTTCACATCACGCGGTCGATGAACACTACTAGTGATCAGAGTAATTCATTATGTACATTATTCGGTTTCGATTAATTAAACAACTGATTTTAGAAATTAAATGATTATGTTTCTCAGTAGAGGAAGTGCAGCATATGTGGAATACTGCAGCTAACCTGGAATTCTTAGTTATCTAAATCAATGTAAACGCTATCTGTATTTCTCTGCTGTAAATATAATGTCGTGAATCATACGAAACCACAAGTACTAAAACAGGACGCCACATTGACAGTTCCTGCCACCAGCCACACGGGAACGAGATGTCTAAATTGAAAACCTTTTCGGTAAGAATGCAATCATTGATGATCATTTACTAGGATACGTAAAATCTTCATTGCAAGTATTTGAACTGTTATGTGTCCCTTAAAGTTTACAATTTTATTTTCATTTTGAGAATACATTTAGAGTTGAAGATTTGACAAGGAATTTTAAGTCAGGATGTTCTGTTGTCAATTTGGAATAGGGACAGTGCTTAATGTGCGAATTGTGGGTTATGAGTCCAGTGTGTATATCTGTGATTATTATAGCAACAGTAACTAAGAACACTGAACTATAACTTCAATCTAAATACTGATTTGTGATTATTATGACTGATTACCTAATAATGAATAATGATAAGCTACTTTGTTAAACAGATTAATTACCAAAGACTGTAAAACGGTTACAAAGTTGAGAAATTTATAAGTTTCTCAAAAAAGGTGTAAACAATTGTCAAAAAAGGTTATTATAATTTGGAATACTATATTTCAAATTACCTGCACCCTAAGTAAATTTACGCTTTTGGAGTTTTGTTTTATTTTGATAAATATTTTGATGGGGTTCCTGGTTTTTGTTTTGTTTGATTGTTTATATCATTAAAATTTAATGATTTCTCAATAATTTAATGCATTTTTTGTTTTGCTATCCCGTTTATCTTGCAATTTATTTCCAAAAAACAAACCAGTATTCCAAATATACTGCAGTTCCTCTACTACGAACTACAGCCAGATCAACGAACATTCAGGTAAGGTAAGGCCTAACAAAAATACTGTCATAATGAATATGTTCGTGAAAAGTAGGTTATTGTTAGAAGAATTTCTCAAAAAAGGTATGTAATGAAGCAGACTGGAACGAGTCATATGGTAACAGCACACCTCGAAAAGCCGCGTACAGACAGAAAATCCAACGCCGAGCAATCGAATGCAAGCACATGACTGTGATGTTGGCGTTTGTCGTTGGAAGTTATTGGAATGCGCTCGTCTACGCATCGTCTACGAGTAGGGGAGTAGTGGCATGAAAGAGCCAGTTTTATAGACGCAGCCAAAAAATATACTTTGAATGAATGAAATGATTAATTTTTTAGTCAAACTATTATTTATTTATTAAAGTATACAGGGTGACTTCGAAGTTGAGTCATTTATTTTAACAGTGAGTAAATCTGATCAAAAGAAATGTTTTTTCCCTTTATCATTTTTCTGGTAAAATTAAAGTAACAAAGTTATAGCCCTTTGGAAGTTTGAGTACCGCCCTGTCTCAATAATAATATTATGTGCTCGTGTTTGGCAACAACGGATATAATCCGCCTTATCGGTTCATCGCATCGGAAACAAAAAAGCGAAAGAATTTGGATGTTTTTACAATTATTTTATTCAGTTGTATACAGTCAGTGTCAGTCGGTAACGCGTGAGTGAATAGTGGTGTCTGTTGCGTGGCTCAAACGAAATAAAAAATGGCACATGTTTATGCGGATCGGTTTCCCAATCGAGTGCAACCAACCCCTAGTGCCTTTGTTAATGTAGTACAACGGGCTCGTGAATCAGCTGACTTAAGACCTCACAGGGGACGGCATGCCGGTGCTCCAAGACCTCACGATCAAATACAGGTCCGCACTGAAATACTTGTCGGGAGGATACTGTATAAAACAAGGTAAAATTTTTGTTTTAATTTTTTTTATTTTTACACACAAATTTTTTTGTTTATCTTCCTTCTACAATCATTATCTGAAAATTAATGACTCAACTTCAAAGTCACCCTGTATATTTCATACAAAATAATCTAAAATACGGTATATAAAACCAATGAAATATACGTTTTTTAAAAATGTGTCATTTGGCTCTTTCATAACATTTCGGTATTGAAAGAGCCACTAAAAGTAATGAAAGGGCCAGCTTGTATTATAACTTGAAATTGTGAAAATTATACAAACTAATAAGTAAACACTATTAAAAAACAAATGAAAAGACAATTCTAACAAATTCTTTTTAAAAACTAATGATATTTTATAATAAATATAAACTTAACATATTAGAGGCGGATTATTTTTTATCAATAACAGTGTTGAAATTAAATAAAACAACAAATAATATCTTTTATCAAAAACAAAATCGTTAAATCTATCAGAACAGAATATAATGCGTATTCTTCAAATTAAAAACATGTCTTGCAAAATAAATTAACGTTCCCCTTAATACCACAGCATTCATGAGCCCAACCAGAACAAATTTTGCACTGAAACCAATCTCGATCACTGTCTTTATATGTTTTGCTGCAAACTACACAATCATCACTATTGTTATTTGTCTTTGGGTTTATTTTGCTTCGAACACCCTTTGTTTTTAATTCAGCCAATACGATAGAGTCAGACCAATCAGAGTCATCTTGCAGAACGGAATTTTCTTTATTTATTTCTGATTTTGTTTTAAGCGTTTTTATGGAGTCTTTTGTAGTCATTTTCTTAACAGTAACTTTTGGTTTCTTTGCACTATACTCTTTCTCCTCTATTTTTTTCCTTTCGGGAGAGTCGGTTACGATAGCAGATGACATTTTTCTTCGTTTCGTGTTTTGTCTTGGCCCCGCTTTAGAAAATGGTCTTATCATCTCCGGTGATATAATTCGTTGAATCGGATTTGCAGCCGTGGGGGTGGAGGTTGAAAGGTGAGAGAGTCTGATATTCTGATCTATTAGAAGCTCATTTTCTTCGCCAGCTCCAAGCGATTTTGTAGAAGATGGAGCTGTTGTTTCTAAGTTTCCTTCCATACTTTCCTTATACAAGTTCAAACCATCGTTTGATTGCGGATCAAGTCTATCAGTCACATATGAAGATAAAAATGCTTCTTCACTAAATATATTAGAATTTAATGGATAAATTCCTGTTTTCAAAAATCCTTGTGTTATATTCTGTGGACTGAAAGCTGACAAATATGCTTCTTTTACAAATTGCCCAATTTGATAAATAGTAACTGTTTTTCCAGGGTTCGTCAACATCCATTCATTCATGGCAGTGCGGTACCTAGTTTTGAAAGGCCCATATACTGTGATATCTAGTGGTTGCAGTTTATGACTGCAGTGTGGTGGGAATGTAACTATTATGATGGAGTTTTGTCTGTCAAATTCAACCACTCTGAGATTTACATGAGAGGTGTGATTATCCATTACTATCAATGCTGGATTCTCTTTTGATGGCCTGACATGTATTACAAAGTGTTGAAGCGCTTTCACAAAACAGTCTTCAGTCATCCATCCAGAAACTTGAGCCAATCCTAGGGCTAATGGCGGACCATTATTTAACATAATATTTTTATAGTTTCCTCTAGGAAACACAAAAACGGGCGGCAAAAAACCACCAGCAGCATTAATAAAGAACAGAGTTGTCACCAATGTTCCTCGTTCGGCTGAGGTAACTTGCCCAATTTGTTTCGAACCCCTTTCAGCTATGACCTTAGGAGGATTGGTGACGGTGCTGCAGCCTGTTTCATCGGCGTTAAAAATCCTATGAGGCGGAAATTTGTATCTTTGTGAAACAGTGTTTAATTTCTTAAAAAATGTGCTTACATTAGCTTTATTAAAACTTGTTGCACGGGGTAGAGAAGTGCTCAGGTTTTCTCACAGTTAAGTCTTTGTGTCTGCTCATAAACCCTTTGAGCCAATCATCAGTCGCAGTTTCAACTTCTTTCCATTTGGGTGGACAGATATCATTGGCTACGGCATAATCAAATCCTAGCTTCTTTGCTTGATGTCTTGTTAGGCCATGGCACATTTTAGATGCGGTCTTTAAATAATCTGCAAGCATATTCTCCTGTTCTGTTGTGAAAATACGCCTGTTCCCTATATTAGGACAGTGTTCATATGATGAATCGCCAGACGTCTTTACTTTTTTAACGATTTTAGCTAAGTAAGCCCTCGATATGTTTAAGGCAAGTGCAGTTCTGTTTATTGACTGACCTTTCTCCAAAACTTCACTGACTGCTTCTTCAATTACCGATTTTTCGGGTCTTTTTCGTTTTTTTGAGCCAGCCTTCTCCATAATGCAGTATCTGAAGCAAATAATTTAATAATATATAAAAATGCATATTTATTATTATAATAATTTTATAACTAAAACTTAAATATAGGGTTATAAAAGAGCCGGTTATGAAAGAGCCAGCTCTTTTAAGGCCTATGCACCCGGCTCTTTCATAACTTATTGGTAAATAACAGCAATATAAAACCTTTTGCCGCTTAGTGTTTACGCAGTTGCAAGGCCAATTATATGCACTAACTGAATCTACAATTCACATACTTATATTTGTTTACAATAAAATGCCAAAAAACTACTTAGATAGAGCAAAATACTTACTTTTGGATGCCAAAAATTTTGACTCGATGTACCGCCGCCTGTTATCACTAGCCAACTGTCAAATGTTTGTGGGTGGCGGGAAATCAGTGCTGCCACCTTAAAATAAGATCACCCACCAAATTCGTTCCTACACCACCGAAATAATGCAAGTGGCTCTTTCAAAACCTGGCTCTTTCATGTCACTTCTCCCCTACACCTAAATTTAGTTTCGAGTTGGACCGCGACGACTAAATACTAGAAGCGCAGCAAATCCTGTCCAGACCAGATCGAACCTCTCTTTGATGTACCGATCAAGGAGCGAACACAATCGAACGCCAACGGCTACCTTGGAAACCGTTGGCACAATTATGTCGGCTCGCGATGTACACACCGATTCGAACACCTCCAAATCTGTAACCACATGTGCCTTGGATTGCGTTGGAATCTCGGTCTGTACGCGGCTTAACAGTAACCTTGCGAATCCCACCACCTATATAAGTTAAATAGAACAAAATATATGTTTCAATAAGTAATCAGCAGTACCACTGATACGGTTTGTCACATAAAGTGTGTTGGAGTACACCAATTAGGTGGTAAGTACACAGTACCTTCAAACATAATTTATATCATTTTGGGCACTAGTGTTGAACGATATACTTATGTTACAATAATACATTAATAGATGACGCACCTGCTTATCAGTTTTGTAATTATAGCTAACAATACATAGATATACGTTATTATCATGTTTAAAACGATTGAATTGACACAAGAGTGTACGTCACACACAGACACAGTACATTGCATTCATATGATAGTTTATCCTGATGAAACCAAATTTGATATCAAGTAAAAATTACGTGATATTCTGTCCATTCAGGACTCAGGTTGTTGGTCCATGATGCTTATAGCTTATATGCATTTAAGTAATATTTGAGTGGAGCGGAGAATAACTTGGTCTTGACAACATTACAAAACGGTATTAAGCAGGAAAAAAGTTACTCAGTAATTTTTTGCATAATGCTGTGAAAAAGATATATGTACACAGATACAGCAAGGTTATCTTCTCCATCAGCTTTTTGTCAGTAAACGGTTAGGAAAATAAATATTAGGCATGTAAATCAAGTCAAGTAGGTTTTAAGCTATGTAATGTAAATTCAAGTTGTCTTGATATCACTTGATAATTTTTGTAATATAAATACACAAAAATACGATAAAACTGTGAACTCAAATAGAAAAAAAATATTTGTTCATCAGCTGATGCAAAGAAATGAAAAATTCTGAATTAGATTTTTATCCTAACGGATGTATCGCTTAGATAATCTGTTTCGGGCTTTCGTAATGGTCAGTGCAGGCCTGAAAAATCCTCTTTTAATGGACGCTGATGTTGCCAGTATCGATATGACATCTCTTTCCACTAAAACTAGATTTGGGAGTACGTTTCCATGGTTTTTCCACCACGCGTTTATATTTGCATTAAAATAGATCACTGAAGGCCTCAGTAGATCAAAAATATAACTCGGAAAATAAACATCTGCACACCCGGTACACAAGTGCGTTAAATTGATGCATTGCTAAACAGCCGGCGTTTTAGCGCGTGTTTTAACGCGCCTACAACTAGCTGTGCACTCGGGGAGTCGACGTGCGTTTCGCATTTCATCAGATTCGAGGATCAAACGCGCTACAAAATGCGCGTCAAGTCAACGCGCGTCGATAGTGAGTCGTGTTTTGTCTCCACTTTTTGCAGAGTATCAATTTAACGTTACAATGAGCCAAGTGTGACCTCAACATAGTTTTATTTTTACTATCAACAATTATTTTTTGCGGATGAGTAAACCTGGTTATACCCAATACTGCTACGAGTATTTGTGAGCACATTATTTATGTGTATTTTTTTTTGCTCAGGTGGTTTCGTGAGCTAGTCTTATATTCTTCGCAAATGGACGAAATTAAACTCAAGAGTTTCCCAAAGGATTTTATATTTGGCGTATCAACAAGCGCTTATCAAATTGAAGGAGGATATGATGCAGACGGTAAGCTTGACATATTATCATTCTATAAATAGCATTTTTTTACTTGAGTTTTAAACATTGTGACTGTCTGACAAGCCACCACTACATTTATTTTGCTGTAATACTAATTCACAATTTGTTGCTTCAATAATATATTCCACTTAGATAGACTAACGATAAACGTGTATCATGATACCAGATGATACAAAAATCTGAAGTATGTCGGGCATTATGTTCTTCTCAGTCCATTTTTTTAAACGATACGCCAACATCGTTTAACGTAATAAATGGGCAATCAAAATGGATATTTTATGATAAATAGTGTAACGTGGTGTTCGCTGACACTTGACTTGTCTATAATTTGGGAAGTACCGCTGGGATTCCGATGAAATTTTCACGTAGGTTACTACTATGCCAAGGACGGAAAAATTTTCGAAAATCGGTTCAGTGACGGCGGAGCTACGGGAAAAAACACGAAGAAAATAAAATCACCCAAACTTCGTTTTTGATGCTCCAGAAGCTTCTGATCAATTTCAGATAAATTTAGATTGGGCGTTTGGGGGCTCTAAGGGGAAGGGGATATCTGTCAGCTTTTTGATATTAGTATATTTATACGCTCAGAACCCCGGTAATTCTACGCACTTATTAGCAATATTTCACATATCGTAGGTTGCCCGGTACACTTGCCCTTAAAACTTAGAATTGAAGAGAATCGTTTTAGACACGCATCTCTGCTTCTGCTCCAGGGTTTAACGGCGGGCGTGCCGGTGTCTATGAGTCTCCTGCCATTACTTTTGCGGTACCACGCTGCCGCCTCGTGCGGTCAGGTATGCGGGAGGTACGACGGCCATATCACCAAATGGATAGTAGGTACTACCGGTAGGGCAAGACAAGGATGTCTATGAACTGAACGTTTCACCTGCGTGACTGATTACACTTTTCAACACAAAAATCTTCCCTATAAAAATATCATACGTTTTGTAACATTTGGACTACTAATATACAACAGACCGTCAAATATTTATATTAATTACCCTCAGATTTCTTGGAAGGGTCTAGTAGGCAGATAATGAATGGGCGTCTAAAGGTAGTTGGGTCTATGTTTGAAATATTCTTTATTCTTTACTTTGTAATTATTTAGTAAACATCTATTCATATTTTCGCTTAGATATACGTGCCCGTTTAAAGCAGTAACACAAATTTCGACGCGAATTTGCGCTAATGAAGCCGATAACTTCTGTTATAGTTGTGGCAAGGTTACCGTGAAAAAGGAACCAAAAGCCAATATCTCCACTACTAAAAAAGGCTTATGAACTGTACTTTGGATGCAAAGTTGGCGATCAAGACAAATCCTGGGCCCAAAAAATATGTTGAGTTCGTGTTCGAGAACCTCCCGGAAACCACTTGGAAAAAGGAATTAAGGTGTCCATCTTCATCAAAAGCAATCTACTCTCACAATTTTTTGCAGTACAAGGTGATTTAGTATTTTGCCATCACATACCTGGCCTGAAAAAAAGTCCAAAAGCGGTTTTACTTTTTAACGGAAGTGAGCATCCATGGCTTCCTATAGATCATTCGGTAAATATGTATGAAAGAAACATATGACAATCTTAAGATGCTAGTCAGATGTATAAAATACTAAGATCACAAATATACTAAGTGACATATAAATCCGAACACCCAGTTTAAATGGTTTTATTTTAATAAAAGTTGGTGAATGTATACTGTAAATAACAAGTGAAAAAATTTTCAGCCTTATCAGTTGGACATTCCGGTTTTTATACTGCTTTTTTTAATTCACTAACGCTCTAAAAATGAATATTTCAGCCGCAGTAAAGAATCAACTTTGGCGAATTTTGGTTCTTGACATCCTTTACGATCGGTTACGATGCCTAGAGTACGGAGACCTGTACGATTTCGTCAACTTAGTGAGTTTGATAGGGGCCGTATAGTGGGATTTCGGGAAGCTGGACTTTCTTTTCGGGCAATTGCAGTTAGAGTCCAAAGAAGTGTAGACACTGTGGTTAGGTGTTGTCAGGCATGGCTTCGAGAAGGCCGTACGCAAAGAGCAAGGGGCACTGGACGCAGCCGTAGAACAACAGACCGTGAAGATCGCCGCCTAAGATTATTCGCCTTAAGGGACCGTTTCTCCACTACCAGGTCCATTGCAAATGAATGGTTTGCAGAACACGGAAGACCTATTGGCATGCGAAGTGTTTACCGACGAATGAGAAGTTTTGGCTTGTTTTCATACCGGCCACACTGGGTCCTCCCTTTAACTCGAGAACAGCGACGTAATCGCCTTGAGTGGTGCAGACAACGGTCACTCTGGGATCAGGAATGGAACAGTATTGTCTTTAGTGACGAGTCTCGATTTTGTTTAGGCATGCACGATGGTCGTGCCAGGATTAGAAGGCGACGTGGTGAAAGGAGGAATCCACAGTTATTTGTTGAAAGACATGTTCATCACACTGTTGGAGTTATGGTTTGGGGTGCTATAGCTTATGGTTCCAGGTCACCTTTAATCTTCATCAGAGGTAACATGAACGCGCAGCGTTATATCCACGAAGTTCTAGAACCCCACCACAACCACATGTTGCAAGAGTCACAATAGACTTCTTTCAACATAATGATGTCACATTGTTACCATGGCCACCAAGATCTCCCGACTTATCCCCAATTGAGCACGTGTGGGATATGATGGGTAGGCGATTGCTCAATTTGCAACGTCCTCCTCAGACTCTAGAAGCACTTCGAGAGGAGTTGGTGGTTGCCTGGAATGAGATACCACGGGAGGACATTGACCACCTGATCAGAAGCATGCCTAGGCGCGTTGGAGAATGCGTCGCACATCAGGGTGCATCCACACATTATTAAAGGTCAAAGGGCTTTAAAGCAGTGCAATCATTTTGAAATTTTTATCATTTACTTATTATGCTTCATTAAGTACTTATACAAAATTTTATTATAATAAAACCATTTAAACTGGGTGTTCGGATTTATATGTCACTTAGTATAGTACATATATGAATGCAGATTCAAAAGTGGTGGCGTTGGCGGTACCGACAGGACTGCAATCAGGATATATAAAATACTCACGCTTTTTGTATGAGTGGGACATCCATGCAAGAGACAAAATTATAAAATTAAGGTCTCCACGTGAAACAGTAGAATTTGGCCTGTCAGCTCCTTCTAAGCTCGCTGAATAGGTGATTTATCGTCACCTTGAGAATTTCTCGTCAGATCACCATGTAATTCCTGACGTGCAATTCGGCTTTCGGTCTGAGCACAGTATAGAACTACAGGCAGTTAGACTGGTGGAGCATATAACCAGGGGGTTCACCCTGAACAAAAGTACTGGTATCTTGCTTTTAGATGTATCAGAGGCATTTGACAAGGTGTGGCACATATGCCTCTTGTATAAGCTCATCCAACAGGGTTTTTCATTTTGGCTACTAAAACTGTTGAAATCTTTTCTAGAAGGAAGGAAGTTTCGGATCAAAATTAACAATGTGTTGTCAACAACACGGCCCATAAGAGCCAGTGTTCCTCATAGTTCGGTCTTAGGACCAATCCTTCATTCACTTTATATACCTGACATCACTTGCCTCAGCAACTGTGAAGTCTATATCTATGCTGACGACACTGCATTGCCAGCCCAGTCTTGTTCTGGTAACCTGGTTCACGACAGGCGGCAGAGTGCGGTAGAGGAAGTATTGGAGTGGGCGGATCGGTGGTTGATCAAAATTAATACCTCGAAAACGCAAGCAATCTATTGTACAAAAAAACGTCGCGGTGCCCTCTCAGAGATATCAGTGAATGGAACTCGTATACCATGGGAGCAATCTATCAGGTATCTTAGAGTCAACATTGACAAGGGTTTGACCTGGCAGAAACATACTGATATTTTGAAAACAAAATTCCAAATTACCTTTCGGCAGCTTTATCCTTTGTTGTGCAGAAATTCAAAATAAAGTTTGATCAACAAGATTCCGTTGTATAAAATGGTCATACGACCCGCAATAACCTACGCAGAGACTGTAAGTCCTGCAAAACAGAACCCTACGCCCCTTGGTACGTGTCAAATGAGACTATTCACAGAGATCTTGATATCCCATATCTAAGGGATTACGTAAAACAAAAGGCGCAGCGGCGTTATAATCAAGCGGAATCGCACAGCAACCCTCTGTTGCGTGATTCAGTAGACTACACGGTCGAGCAAGTTCGCAAACATTCCAGGCCGCGCCTCGCAATGTGATCAAAATTAAATTGTAAATTCAGACAAGCCAAAATTATTTCAGTATACAAAACCGATCAAATTTTTTTTTTTTGGAGTTACAAAATAATTCCGGTAGTCAAATCAATAATGCTTAAGCTATTTCAAATGATTTACTTTTTTTCTTTGCTCTATTTCTTCCTTTCTTTCCTTCTTTCCCTTTTCCCCTTAAACATGTTTGGTATCTGGGTAGCCAGACCTGACAGACTAACAGACCGACGAAACTTTTAACTAAGAGCAAAGGTCCACCGGACCGCTCTGACAAATAATGCCGAATAGTAAATAGTAGAATTTGGCATTCAAAATTTGACCCGAGAACCATTAGTTCAGAAAGAAAAACATATATTTACCTATACTTCACATTAGGCTAAGCCAGATCAAAAATTTGTTAAAGCCTTGGATAAAGAAGGACATGCTTTTAAGTATTCAAAATACAGATTTCCAGGTAAAAGTGAGGCCAAAATTGAATAAGAAGTTTTTGTTGGTCCTCAAATTAGGCAGATTTCAAGTGAAAATGAAAGTCGGGCATGGAATGCATTTGAAAGAACGGAAATGATATATCAGAAAATCATCGCAAACACTTGGAAGAACTTACTTAAAAATGTGCATACTGTACCTAAACTAAATGTAAATGAAATGTATTATAGGTTTTTAATTGTTTAAATTTAATAAGTCGGCGTTAAAGGGGGTTTTTGTTAATTTTTTTTTTCATCATTGGAGGCTGATATCGAAAATCTGGATCTGGATTCAGAAGGCCAGAACACATAAAATCCAGCCAAAACCTTTCCAGGGAGGAAAAAGAAGTTTCAAAATGTTCGTCAGCGTTAGTAATTTCTCTTTTCACACGTTCGTAACTAACTTTCTTCTCAGACGGTGTAACTGATGGCGGAATGGTCTGGGAAGTACAGTGTCAACTTACTTGACCCCATTTTTTCAATATGGCGGACATGTTGTGCAAAATAATGAAAGGAATTACAGTGGACAATGTTTTTTGCAGTAGTTAGAATTCTTTGGTTAAACGGGCCTAATTTTACTTTGCAGGTAAAGGTGAAAATATCTGGGATCACTATACAAACAAATATCCAAAGCTGTTCAAAAATGCTAATGGCAACATAGCTTGTGACTCCTACACAAAATTCAGGGAGGATGTAGCGCTTGTCGATGACCTGGGTGTGGATTTCTACAGATTTTCGGTGTCATGGAGCAGAATTTTGCCAAATGGACATTGCAACGTCATTAATGAAAAAGGCATACAGTATTATAATAATATCATAGATGCTTTGACAGATAAAGGTAAGACTAAATGAGAATATCGAGCATATGCTGTCCAGCAAGAGCCCCCTTGTCCATACAGTGCACACTATATCTCCTACTAAACTTTATAGTTCTTGCTTTACTCTAATAAGTGGAACATTGGTTGCAAGTTTTTCTAATAATTCTATTGTCACTATTTACATATGCTGAGTTTTGTTTTTTTGGGAATATCTTTATGCAAACCTTTAATCACAGAAAATTAGAATATTTATATGAACTTCGAAGGAAAACTATACTCGATCGCTGATACTAAGTTTAACTTCACCTCGTTCAGCAAACTGCATTGTCAACGGACAATATCCAACTTTTCAACCATGTATACACGATCCAATTTATAATATTTTCAATATCTCCAATGAAAGAAGTAGCCAAAAAATTTACATCAGAAACATCATTGTTTCAAACAGAATCCGATAATTCCCGTTGTAACCTGTTGGAATCATAATTTTTATAAGACCCCTGAAATATTATTATTTTTTTTGGAAAGTGCTATTGAAAAAATTGAATGGTCACTGATCTTAGGTCTAATGTGACCTTCATATTTGAGAATCTAATTATTTGTTACGATCTAGTCTATTAATGATTGGCTTCTGGAGACTATTCTAGTGGGGGCCTGTACTATTAATTTGATAAAATCCATTCGTATATATAACATCCATCACCCACTTTGTTGCCATAAAACGAGTTTTTTAATAAATCGAAATTAAAATCGCCCACTATGACATTTATACCATTAAATTCACTGATCCGATCTAAATAATTATTGAAAAAATCTAAAAATTTGGCATCCTCTTTCTGAGGTGAATGATATAAAAAGGAAAACAAATACTTCACACTAGACAAAGATATTTCAAGGGACTATAATCACACATAGTTTTCAACACATTGATTAGTTGAAATATGTCTAATATAACATCGTAATGAGGCTATGAACCCCCCCCCCCCATTATTCTGCTATTGTTGGTAGTGCATTGCTCTAATTTATACCCCGCAACATTTAATTCACACAATTCAATATCAAATATTACATGTCTACTCACTTTTTTTGGGTTTCCAATGATTAATTAATAGGGTAGTGTTATCTTAGTTATTTACAAAATCTTGAAAATTAAAATACACAATGCTACAGTTATGAATAGTTTTAAGGTATGATTGTCATTTAATGTACTTACACCGTTGAATATCCTCAATATTTTTGTAAGACTCACATTTCTTTAAGTCCCAGGTGACATGGCTGACATCCAACGTGAGACCATACACACTTTATTTTCTTCACAGTCATTCACAATGTGACCATACTGTCAGCGTCTAAAACACCTTATACCATAATCATTAAAAATTACACAACGATTCCAACCTATATTAATTCTCTCCTTTTCTATGTATAAAAATACTGTATGTATTGCCATCCATTTCAAGTACCATGGTAAACTTGTTGTTTTCAACTTTGGTTTTCCTTAGTATTTTTTATTAGGAGAGTCACGTAAATTATTTTAGCTCTCAATTTTTATTAAAATTTCACTATCCGTTAGGTTGTATTCTGACTCCTCCGTTTTTAGTGGGCTTTCCTAGTGTTAAACCAGCACCAATATCGGTGGGATTCACTTTTTTCCTAAGGTCCTCATTAACTTTTCTAGCGTCTTTTTTTTACCCTTCTGTTTAACAACCAGTATCGTTCTTAAGAGCATGTGCATAAGACGAAGACACCGCCGACACCGCACCAGTACCTTTAGGGCTTACCACTTCAATTTTTTGCTGCTTAATTCCCTTTAAGCTAGCAATTACAGCCTTAAGGTTACCATTCTCCGTTAACAGTAAATCCACTTTACACTCAGTTCCTTCATTTTCTGTGCTCAGTTCCTTCATTTTCTGTACCAATAAATTCAGTGTCCCAGAAATTTCACTAGCAGTGGCAACGTCGACGTCCAAAATATTATTGATACGGCTGCCTTTCCTTGTGCACTCAGATCTGTTTACCTCTGCCGAGGATTCAACCTCACTCCGGGCATCACAGTTTCCACACTTCCAGGTCGATTTTTTTATACGAAACCCTCTCATATGAACGTTCCCACATTTTCCATGATAGTACTGGTTACACATTGAAGAATCAGGTCACTTTTCTTCCCATCATATCCCATACATATTCATTGGGCGAAATATGTTGAGATCAAGGAGGTTAAGGGAGGAGGCTGACTTATTGAGGAAGCCAATTGTACCTGTAGTAATAAGGAGATGGGCATTATTTTATTAGAATATAGGTTCAGCAAGCGCTTGCAGGATTGGCAAGAAAATGGTGTTCAAGGATTTTCTGGATATATCGTTACGTTCTCACATCTCCTCTAATGGAAACTGGAAGTGACCTAAACCATAATTATTGCTACATTATAGTGCAGGTGACGCTGAGCTGAAACCTTTACGTTACGTGTTACTTCGCGACGACATCTGAAAAACAATGTCATATTATTTATCATCCCAATGTGCTCGGTCTTGGTTCTGTTTTAGAGATGAATGATGCAGGGGCAAGAGTTGAACATCACTTGCACCAGATTGTAGGAGTCATGGATTGTGGTGCTAATTCGCCTCTCGTTTCCCTGACGGCGTAACGGTATATCCAGAAAGTACTGGGACCTCATTCCATTTCTGCAAATGCCTACAAGATAATGGTCGCCCCCATATTGCTAAAGCTACAACAGACTACCTCAGTAACGGTCAAATCAATTTCCTCATTTGGCGACCTGTGGAATATGATGGGAAGAGGAGCGACCCCATCCTCCACCAACGTTAGCAACTGTTTCGGATTCAAGTACAGCTAGCTTGTATTGTGATACCTCAAGAAGGATAAATCGTCTCATCAGAAGAATGCCCCGATGACTGGATGGATGTGTACGGCATAGTGGAGGCCCAGCATATCTAGAAGTGCTCGACGACTAGACAAATCAAGGTGGACCAACACATTTATTGGCGAAATCTAGAGATTCGGTAAATGTTTTAAGGCAGTTAATCACGACTTTCTTTTGCCTAAGTCTACCTGTATACAAAATGTCAGTTAAATAAAGTAATTTTTACTGAGAGTTTATTTTCTTTATGACTGAGTGCCCAATCTAGAAAACACGAATTCTGCACTGATTGGTATAGTTTCCCAGCCGGCAGGGATATTACGTGTCTTGAAAAGTAACATTATGTCGTTCTTTTACATTATGTAGGTTTTTCTACAAGATGTGAATTTAGAACTAGCTGTTGTTCACTTGATTTGTCCTCGTTCTGTAGCTGTACGTGTTGCCATCATGATGCTTCGGCTATCATAATGTTTGACTCTGATGTGATGTAACATCTGCCTCAGAGATGGCATTACTGGAGGTCTAAGCTGTAAGTTCTGTACTATAGCTGGAAGGACACGGAAGTGCGTAGGTGCATAGTGGTAATTTGTGTGCTAACAACGATAATTCCCTTAGTGATTTGTGTGTGATGCGTCATGCCTATTTTTTCTGTGGTTTGGCTTAATTATACATAAAGCGGTACTGTATGGATTCTCGTTGGGTATGGTCAAGTTTTCATAAAGAGTTGTTGCCTCTTCCAATCTACAAAAGGTTTACCGAAATTAAGCATTTAACCTAGTGTTTCTGTTGTAGGTATTCAACCAATGATAACGATGTTCCACTGGGACCTACCAATGCCTCTCCAAAGACTCGGTGGCTGGACAAATCCCCTTATCGTCCAATGGTTCAAGGACTATGCTAGGATACTATTCAGTAGATTTGGAGATAGAGTGAAGCTCTGGGTAACAGTGAACAAAAGTGAGACAGGATACTGTGATGATGGTTTTCCTCCATTTATCAACCAACCTGGCATTGCTGACTATCTGTTGAACCATCATACCTTGTTAGCTCACGCAGAAACTTACCATATGTACAAGGAAGAATTCCTAGCAAAGCAACATGGTAAAGTACAGGCTACATATTTTTGGATAGCTATTTTATTACTATGTTTTGATATACTCAGGGGTTTTAGAGGTATATCAAGACAAAACCCATCAACTGTTATACTCAAAATATGGAAGCCTAAACGTAAGCGTCCATCGGCCCGCATCGTATGTATCAAACATTTATACTTGTGTCACAAGATCAGTTCTAGAGTTACATGCATAAATTTTTAAGCAAATTCATCAATTGCTCTACATGAAACATCAACATCCGGCCGTCTGCAATACGATTAGAATTTCTCGAATAGGCAAGTATCGCGTATGTGTGTGCCAATGACATCATACAGGTTGCCGATCAGTGGACGCATCACCGTCCAAAGCGACGATCAGGTGATTTCATTTGTGTTGGCCATTTCAAAAACCAAACAAATCACATTTCTCCGAGACGCTACGAGTATTTTGCATTCATTCCCCTTCAAACAATACCATGTAATACTCACGCCCACTGCGGATACCTCAATGGGTCATTTCCAACACATTTCCAGGATAAGCGATTTGTTTTCTGTTCATATTCATGTGCCACCAGAATACAAATACTAAAATTTAAAAATAAGGTTGTTGGCGAATACAATAGGAATTTTGTCTTCTCTGCTTTGCGATCACTTATTTAAGATTTGACTTGTTTCCTTGCAAAGCCGTTAGCTTAACCCTCCTCATTTCAATTCTTTATTTGTGTTAAGTACACCAGCGTGTTTACACAAAAAAATTAATACAAAAAGCAGTCTGACAAAAGACTGATATTCAAATTAGACAGAAAAACATCAACTTATGACATTATGATTCATTAGAAGCAGATACAGCAAGTCCATATAAGTTGTAAAAACAGGAGGACATAATATATACGTACATACATAGATACACGCATATTCATTTAACCACAATACGTATGTTTACTTCTACACACACACACTTACATATATACATATATACACATATACACATATATACGTTAAAATGGTAAGACATATGAAATGTTGATATAAAAATTTACCAGATGACTTAGTAGAAAGTTCAAGGAGCCTAGAGGATCCCACGTGTAGGAACGCTGTTATATTTGCTAACAATCCGACAAGTCTGAAAAATTATTGTCCAAATACTCGTTGATCGAGTAAAATGCTTTAGTAGTCAGATAAACATTAATTTTATTTTTAAAAACTTCCGCATCCAGTTTCCTTATACGGTCTGGCAACAGGTTATAAAAAAATATCCCATAATAGTTTGTGCCGTTCCTGATGGTTTGGAGACGGCTATGAGGTACTAAGATTTTATCCATATTTCTGGTTCTACAACTGTGGAAAGCACTGTGGGTAGTATATTGGCTCAGGCTAGTCTTTATATACATCAGACATGTGAAGATGTGAAGAGAAGGTACTGTCATGATTTTTAATTCTATAAAAGCTTCCTTGCAAGGTTACGTGTATTTGAGGCCAGCAATGTACCGCAAGCAACGTCGTTGTAATCCAAAAACTTTTGACGAGTGGGCCGAGTGACCCCAGTTTAACAATGCGTATGAAATTCTTGATTGAAAGTAGGAATAATATGTTAGAAGAAGAACTGACTTGAGAGTCATTTTGTTTCAAGTTCCTTATCAAATATACAGGGTGACTTTGAAGTTGAGTCATTAATTTTCAGATAATGATTGTAGAAGGAAGATAAACCAAAATATGTGTGTAAAAATAAAAAAAAATTAAAAAAAAAATGTTACCTTGTTTTATAAAGTATCCTCCCGACAAGTATTTCAGTGCGGACCTGTGCGCCCAAAAGCATGTCACAAAAACTGTTCGAAATGATTTCCGTTTTGCTCGACGCACAGCTGGGCGCGTCTTAGCCATGTCTCTTTACAAGCACGCAATAAAATCACTGGTTGATTTCTGATCACTGTACTCATTTCCTCAATTCGAGCACGTAATTCTTCGCGTGTATTAACCGGTGTTTTATACACTAGAGTTTTTAGCCAACCCCACAAACAAAAGTCTAAAGGATTTAAGTCCGGAGACCTTGGCGGCCAAGGTACAAAACCGCCACGGCCGATCCAACGATTATTAAATTGTCTATTTAAAAATTCACGCACATTTCTTGCATAATGGGGTGGTGCCCCATCTTGTAAAAACCACATGTTTTGTCTAATATTTAAAGGCACATCTTCCAGTAAACCAGGCAAATTGTGTTGCAAGAAATCAAAATAATTTTCACCAGTTAAGCGATTTGGTAATTCAAAAGGCCCCACTAAAATTCCATTAACAATTCCCGCCCACAGGTTGATTGGTTCAAATCGCTGTTGAAAATTGGTTTCCCTTATTTCATGGGGATTTTCAATAGCCCAAACGTGAGAATTACGTGAATTAATAATTCCGTTTCTAGTAAAGAGGGCTTCATCACTCACTAAAATTTGATTTAAAAAATTGTCATCATTTTGATGTTTATTTAAAAGCCAATTGCAAAAGTCAACCCTTTGTTCATGATCTTCCGGTTGTAAGGCCTGCACTTTTTGTATGTGAAACGGATAGAACTGATTTTCACGTAGAGTTTTCCAAGTTTTATACTGACTAATCGCCAATTGAGTTGAAATTTGTCGGGTGCTTACTGTTGGATCATCACTTACTAATTCTAAAATTTGTTCTTCTAGTTCTATTTGATCGTGTGGTCTTGGAGCACCGGCATGATCTCCTCTGTGAGGTCTTAAGTCACCTGATTCACGAGCTCTTTGCACTACATTAACAAAGGCACGAGGGGTTGGTTGCACTCGATTGGGAAACCGATCCGCATAGATCCGTGATGCCGCGGCAGCATTTTGTAAAGACTCCCCGTAAATAAGAACCATGTCCACAAGTTCAGCATTTTCGTAAACATGTGCCATTTTTGATTTGAGCCTCGCAACAGACACGATTATTCACTTACGCGTTACCGACTACCGACTGATACTGACTGTATACAACTGAAGAAAATAATTGTAAAAAGATCGTTCCAAATTCTTTCGCTTTTTTGTTTCCGATGCGATGAACGGATAAGGCGGATTATATCTGTTGTTGCCAAACACGAGAACATAATATCATTATTGAGACAGGGCGGTACTCAAACTTCCAAAGGGCTATAACTTTGTTACTTTAATTTTAGCAGAAAAATGGTAAAGGAAAAAAACATTTCTTTTGATCAGATCTACTCACTGTTAAAATAAATGAAATGAAATATATATATACAGGGTGACTTCGAAGTTGAGTCATTTATTTTAACAGTGAGTAGATCTGATCAAAAGAAATGTTTTTTCCTTTACCATTTTTCTGGTAACATTAAAGTAACAAAGTTATAGCCCTTTGGAAGTTTGAGTACCGCCCTGTCTCAATCATAATATTATGTGCTCGTGTTTGGCAACAACGGATATAATCCTCCTTATCGGTTCATTGCATCGGAAACAAAAAAGCGAAAGAATTTGGAACGATGTTTTTACAATTATTTCATTCCGTTGTATACAGTCAGTGTCAGTCGGTAACGCGTGAGTGAATAGTGGTGTCTGTTGCGTGGCTCAAATGAAATCAAAAATGGCACATGTTTATGCGGATCGGTTTCCCAATCGAGTGCAACCAACCCCTCGTGCCTTTGTTAATGGAGTACAACGGGCTCGTGAATCAGGTGACTTAAGACCTCACAGGCGACGGCATGCCGGTGCTCCAAGACCTCACGATCAAATACAGGTCCGCACTGAAATACTTGTCGGGAGGATACTTTATAAAAGAAGGTAAAATTTTTTTTTTAATTTTTTTTCATTTTTACACATTTTGGTTTATCTTCCTTCTACAATCATTATCTGAAAATTAATGACTCAACCTGTATATATATTGCTAGTGCATCGAGAACATGGATTACGTGAGTTTCCCACGACAAGTGTTCATCAAGGTAGACTCCTAGTAACTTCACGGACTTTAGTATATTAGTGTCGTGCTGCCTCAAGCTAAGAATAATCATCTGAGACTTGGTTTCATTGATGGTCAACTTATTAGCGGTTAACCAGTTTGCTAGTTTTCTTCTATGAGCCTCAGAGTCGAATTTAAATGAGGCTAAAGAGGCATTGCTATTCATCAAGGTAGTGTCATCAGCGAATAGGATTAAGTTATTATTCACATTATAGTTAGGTCATATCATTGACTCAAATTAAAAATAAAATAGGTCCCAATACCGAGCCTTGCGGTACCCCGTGAGCAGCGACTAACTGTGAGGATGATGAACCTTTAAAGAATACAAATTGGCGTCGATTACTCAAGTAAGATTTAATCATTGCAGTGCATGCTTCATGAAAGTTATAAAAAGGGGGCTTTTCCAACAGGATGTCGTGTTGAACACAATCAAAAGCTTTGGACAAGTCCAACAAACATGCTGCGCCATATAGGTTATTTTCAAAAGTCTCGTTCACAAACTGAATAAAACTTAATAGCTGATGTGGTGGAACTATTTTTCCTAAAACCAAACTGTTGAGCAAAATAAATTATTAACCTTGTTATTGTATGGAAAATAAAGTTTTTTGGATAGATCCTGGGTATTATAAAGAGCTGTTCGTGCAGTTAATAAATAATAGTTTGAAAAACTAAAAAAAAGCACGCTTTTATATCTAACCGGACTAAAAAGTAGAAAGTAATTTTTAATTACAAAGAGTTCATAATATTACAGTAGTAGATGGTCGAACAATCAATCATAATTAATGTCTTCAAAATAAAATTATAATAAAATTTGAGTTATTAATAGAATAATTTAGTTCAGAGTAGAAGGCGTGGGGTTCTTGATATACTATTGGAAACTATTTATGAGGGGAGAGTACAAAAATGTAGTAAAATGCGTACAAGCGATCAATTTTGTCCGAGTTTGCCCAATGCACCTTGAAGATGTTAAGACATGCAACAACGCTTTCGTCCGTTGTCCACCAAAACCAGGTCTACATCATGCTGAGGAGTTTCTAAGTAGCATTGAAAAATATGCTAATATGATCATGTTTCTCCGGCCTTACCCATTATCATCAATAAACTGTGGAGGTTATTCGACATTCCAATTTTTAGAAGTCAAATTTGAGCCCAAAAAAGTTCCTTAAAACTGGCTTATGTACATCTTTTATTGTCTCCTGAAAAATTAACTTGTGACTTAAGACGTTTTTGTAAGCGTATAACCGATTCATTTGTACTAACGGGTGATTCTTTAAGAGGTATAGGATTTGATTTTAAAAAAAAAACACAAAAAAATTGAAAAAACGATTAAATCTTTGAGTCGATAGAACGATCGATATAATTCAATGCTTAAAGATTATTTCATGTAAATGTTGGCCGCGGCTCCGCTTTAGATGGCCCATGCGCAAGGTCCAATTTTGGCACACTCTCTCCAACATATCGGCCGGTATCTCACGAATAAATGCTTCAATATTGGCTTCCAGTGTGTCAATCGTTGCTGGTTTATCCCTGTAGACATTAGCCTTAACATGGCACCACAAGATATAGTCCAACGGCGTTAAATCACACGATCTAGGCGCCCAATTGACGGGCCCCAAACGTGAACGTAAACTGTTCACCGAACTCGCCTCTCAATAGGGCCATTGTTTCGTGTGCCGTGTGGCATGTGGCACCGTCTTGTTGAAACCACATGTCAGCCAAGTCCAGCTCTTCCATTTTGGGCAAAAAAAAGTTTGTTATCATCGCACGGTAGCGCTCGCCATTTACAGTTACGTTCCGGCCATTGACGAAGAAATACGGCCCGATGATGCCACCGGCCCATAATCCACACCAAACAGTGATTTTTTCGGGATGCATTGGTAGCTCTTGAAATGCTTCTGGCTGGCCTTCACTGAGATGCGGCATATGGCTTGTTAACGTACCCATTCAACCAGAAATGAGCTTCGTCGCTGAACACAATTTTTCGATAAAAATGTGGATCTTCCTCCAACTTCGCCAGCGCCCATTCACCAAATGGGAAACGTTGTGGGAGGTCGTGTGGCTTCAATTCTTGAACCAGCTGTATCGTATAAGGTTTTACTCCCAAATCCTGTCGCAAAATTTTCCACGTAGTGGAGTAACAGAGGCCCAATTGCTGCGAACGGCGGCGAATCGACATTTCACGGTCATCACTAACACTGGCGGATACAGCCGCAATATTTTATATATATATATATATTTTAATGTCCAATAATGTAAACTGGGTTCGAAATTTAGTCGCAAGCTTCCGAATAGCTCCCTCAGTAGGCCGACCAAAATTGCCCATAAATTGGAAGCAGTACTCGATGCACTCTCTTAACCGAGCGTTGTTCGTTCGTAAGTCGATTCATGGTTAAATTATAGACCAAATTGAACAAGTTTGACAATGACACAAGACACGATTCACGCGTCATCTGCCAAAAACAGTATTGCCCAAAAGATACTAGCAAAAAAATCACCCATTATAAGTCAGTTTTGCGTGTTATAGGCCAACAACAATTGCTAATGTCCACCACGTCGAGAAGCGGATTGCTGAAAATACAGTTACCATAAGTTGATCCGCTTCATTCGGATATTCCGATGTGTACGATGCGAATTTGTGGCCGGGTACCTTAAAGGTATAATACATATCAAAATGAAGTTTGTGCGCGTTTTAGAAATAACCCTCAATTCGAATCAATCAATATTTCATATTGTTTTGTATATCCTTTAGGCAACGTAGGTG